CAGCAAATAATAGCTGGAGAAGATTGTTGATTACTCAGCACAACACATGAGACAGGAACTCGGCAATGGACAGGAAGGGCAACGTCCTCATTCCTTTCGATGTAGAAAGTTGAGGACAGATAGCACTCCTGGGTAGTTTCATGCTTTAGGAAGAAGCAGGATTTTAGGTAGACCTATCCCTGCCATAGGCACTTTCCGGCAATGCTTTGCCCATTGTCTGCTTATTCTAAAACGCCAAGAGTCTGCCGTCCTATTCTCTCAGCTCCTCTGCCAAGCATTGTGAATTTCACCCAGGCTGTACTAAGATTGAACCAATATCCCCTGATTGAACTGCCAGTCTGCTTTCACTGATTTCAAAGTGCCTGAAGGGCTACAGGCTTCACAGTACTGCAGACAAAAGCTGAAGCCCTGGAGTATGCCCTGTGTTGTGAAAAATCGGGGAGGAAGTGCCCAGCAGTTTCTGTGATATTAATTACAGCCAGCCTGGGAGAGATGCTCAACTGTAGAATAGGCAGATTATTCTCATCCCAAAACAAGAGAAATATTTCGATCTAGAATTCATTCCTGTTGCTAAAGCCTTGTACTTTGGGACACTCTATGAAGGGCCAGGCACACTCTTTGGCCAAATGAAAGCCTGGGTGATGCTCATTTGGGTTCAGCAACAGGGTCAGTCTGTGACTAGGATTGTGGGTCAGTTTGGGATTTGGCTCAGGGTTATGGTTCAGACTAAGGTCTGGATCAGGGCTCAGTCTGGGGCTGGGGTCAGAAGTCCACTTGAAGGTGATATAGCAATGCCCTTTGATGGAATCTGACTGTCTAAGACAGTTGCTGGCCTTTCTCCTGTTTGCCCCATTATCAGCCTGTTCCACAGGTCCACATTGGACCTCTAGAAGTCTCCAGTCGGCTTGTGGGCTCCCAAAGTCCTCCGGCCCCAGAGACCTCACCTGGACTTGGTTGGGGCTCTTATAGGTGGCCCTCCTTCTGTTTCTTCCTATGTATTTCTCAGGACTTGAGCAGGAAGACGGTTCTAACCAGGAAATCCAGCAACCATTACTGTAGGATTGGATGTCCCTGTGGACACTGCCCAGACCCTATTTGGCAGCTAAGCAGTAGGGGTGACTCAGAATTTCTTTCCCATTCCCCTGCCAAATCCCCTACACCTGGATAGGAAGCAAGGCGAGGCAGTGTAGAACAAAAGGACACACAAGCAATCCCAGGAAGTAAGGGGGAGCAATTGGAATGTGTAGGGCCCTGGTACCCGTGCAGCAGACACTTCCTTGTGGGTCTAGGTTGGTGGTTGAGAAGCAGGTGTGTTCTGACCCTGTGAAGTCTTCATTGTGCTGTGCCTTTGTGTGTACTCAAGATCGGCCTGGGCATCTGATTGCATTCCTGTGTGGCTGTGTTCCTGTCCATCTGTTCACTCATGGCTGTCTCCACAGTGGATTCCCAGTGTCCTGCCCACTTCACCACTTTGTAACAGTGCTGGGAAGCTGGCAATAGTTTCAGCTTTTCGAGGCAGAGCCTCATGATGCTCCTCTAATCTCATCTGACCCAGAAAGAGCAGCTCTGGCCTGCCTGCTCCTGTTGCCCCACCAGATTTGGCTGTCCTATGGAGGGTGTACTCTTTATCTCTGGGGCCACGAAGGTCCTCACAGAAACTTTGTGCGGGTCTGAGCCCCAAGCGAGTCCAGGTGAGGTCTCTAGGGCCAGAGGACTTAGGGAGCCGACAAGTATATCCTTTGGAGCCGATCTCTCACTAGGAAAGAGGATTGCTGAAGGGGGGAAGAGTAGGAATTGCTTCCCCCTGAGTCTGTAGTACTACAACTGTCCACCAGGTGGGGTTCCAGGGTAGAGAGTGAGCGCCGAGAGGACCCAGCGCTAGCAGCTAAGAGCAATAGCCCAGCTCCGCTGGCCCGGTCACCCTCGCCGGCGCTCATCCAGAGAGGGACAACACATATGCGCGCATCTTGGACGCTCGCGCACATTCTCTTCTAGTGAACGCTAAACTAAAACCCATATTGGGTGCAGGGTATTAGTTAAAGGGGAGGTCTAGTTTCATTTACATGCATACCACCATAAACTAAAGGTGAGATGGCTAGCCTTGCTCTGCGAGTGCGAGACACAGAAGACACAGACGTGGGTGCTGGGATGAACAGGACGCATGCAGGACGGAGAGCCGGACACCAGCCAGACACATGTTTGGGTTGGTGTGCATAGCTCCATCCCAGGCTTTCAGGAGAAGAGGCCAGATGACAGACAGATGGATAGATGCACATACACACATAGAGCTCCAGAGAAAGCACAAACCTGCAGACGCACAATCTCGCTCCAACGACGTCAGGCGCCTGGCGCAGGGCAGACACACAGGTGCGGCCCGGGCCATAAGCACACCTCACACTGGCATGCCTACCGAGCCCTCTGCGGCCGGCACTGAGAAGGTAGCAACGCTCACCCGGGCGTGTTTATTTACTTATTTGCATCAATGAACGTTTGTACCGGACTCCTCTCGCCTCTGGGTGCCGGGGCCTCTGTGCCTGTCCTCAGAGCGGGATACTCACCCCGACCACCATGAGGTTCCTTCGTCTTGCAGGCAGCCAACAAGGACTACAAAACTGGGGGTGGGGGGTGGGCTCTCGGAGGTGTCAGAGAGGAGGGCTTACAGTCGCCTGGGACGCGGGGAGGGGTGTATGGAGGGGCAGAGGCACCTCAAGATCCTGCAGGGTATGAGAAGAGAGGAAAGGAGAATCTTGGTTTGGGGACGCAGGGACCAGGGATGGGACCTGATACAGAGGATGTCGCAAGTGTCAAATCAGGGGTCCCAGGAGGTAAGATCCTGCGGGAAGGGAGTCCTGGACTCTAGCCATTGGCGCTCCTGGTCGAGGGGCTAGTCTGCGCAGGAGCTGGGTTTTGGGAACCACGGCGCGCGCAGGGCTGCCTGAAGACGGAGGAGGGGGCCCGCGACCCGGGAGGGAGGAAAAGTGGGAAGGAAGTAGCCTCGCAGCCAAGCGGGCACTAAGCGAGTGCGCACCGTGTGTGTGTGTGTGTGTGTGTGTGTGTGTGTGTGTGTGTGTGAGCGCGCGTGCGTGCGCGCGCGTGTGTCTCATCTCGTCCGTCTGTAGGTGCCCAGCTCAGCGCAACACCAGTGGGAAGGAAGAGGAGGCGAGAGGTGAACTGAGTTTGATCCTGCGGCGGTTACAAGTGGGTTCTGGGCGGATGGCGGGCAGCAGGGCGGGGCGGGGCGGGAGGCCGGCGGGCGCTCACACGCTCCGGCCGCGGGCGGGCCTCTTACCACGCCTCCAGCTTTGTGCGCGCGCGGCGGGGTGGGGGTGGGGGGGCTGCTGGCCGAGGGCCCACGGCGCAGCCTCCCGCCTCTATATAAACACACGCATCGTCTTGCTTAGGGCTCCAATGCACATGGAGAGACGCTTTTAAAACCACCAGCCCCGAAATCCTGCCTCCGGCCTCTTGCTTCTCCCCTCTTTCATCCTTTTGCCTTTTCTTTTTCCCTTTCTTCCCCCAGCAGCAACTCCAGAGCTGAGCCTGCGTCCCGGGACGGACTGCCTTTGCTTAATTGATACAATAGCCCGGCTCGGGTTTTCCACCTCCTCCCCCAACCCCACCCCGCCTTACCCCTCCCGTCCGCCGCCGCAGCCACCGCCGCCGCCGCCGCCTCAGCGCCCCAGCGCCCGCCCGGGGCTCTGCGGCTCGCTGCGCCTCATCCCGGCCGCGGCCAGCCGGCTCCGCACCGCGCTCGGGCAGCCGTGCCCACCTCACCGCCTCGTCCGCCGCCCCCGCTCCGGTGCCGCAGCGGTTCCCGGGCTTGGGCGCGCAGCCCGGGACAGCCCAGACACGCTGGGCTCAGGCCTCGCTGCTCTCTTCAGTTGGGGAACCTTTTCCCTCGACTCCAAAAGTTTTTGGGTTCGTTGCAATTTGGGGATTCAGATTTTTTTCCACCTAGGAATTTTTGGGGAATACTTTTGACAAACCTATCGCATTTTCTCTCCGCTAGCTCTCTGTTCCCCTTCTTTTTCTTCTTCTTCTCCTTTTTTTTTTTTCTTTCCCGTACAGGGGAAAGGGCTTACGAGAGAGAAGCTCCTGCCGGACAAAGTTTTCCAAAGTTTTCCATGTGTGATGGTTTCGGGGAGAGCAAATCCAACAGCTTGACTCGGCGGCTTCATCTCACTGCCCTTGAGCAGCCCCTGGGCCCGCTATAAAAGAACAAACAAACAAACAAACAAAGTTACACCCGAGTCGCCTGTGTCTCCTCTCTTCTTTTAGGCGAGCCCACTCCCCACGCTTCCCCGCAGCCTCTCCCCTGCCCTCGCCCCTTCCTCTTTCCGCTCGGCCCGAGGTGCCCGGACCCGGCCGGCCGCAGCCTCCCCTCCCCCGCCGCTCCGTCCGGCCCTCCCCTCCCCCGCCGCGGCCCGCACAGCCAATCCCCCGAGCGGCCGCCAACATGCTCTTTGAGGGCTTGGAGCTGGTGTCGGCGCTGGCCACCCTCGCCGCGTGCCTGGTGTCCGTGACGCTGCTGCTGGCCGTGTCGCAGCAGCTGTGGCAGCTGCGCTGGGCTGCCACCCGGGACAAGAGCTGCAAGCTGCCCATCCCGAAAGGCTCTATGGGCTTCCCGCTCATCGGAGAGACCGGCCACTGGCTGCTCCAGGTAAGGGCGCCCTCCCCAGCCGCTCTCCCGGATCCGCTAGCTTCGAGCGCCCGGCAGACCCGGCCGAGGGCCGGCCAGGGGACGCCGGGAGCTGCAGGCACTGGTCCCCGCCCCGCCCCTTCCCTCGCTCTGCCTGCGCGGCCGGGCTTTCTCCTGCCCGCCTGCAGCGTGGCGCGGAGAGCGCTGGCGCCCGGTGCGCCAGTTGAGAAGGACGGTAAACGGGCTTCCTGGACCGGATAGCGCGCCCACACAGACGTGCCTGGGTCGCAGCACACCCAGCAGGGGTGCGCCAAAAGCCCTAGGGGGTCCTCGCGCAGCGCGAGACCCGGGGGGCGTTGGGTTCTGAGTTGTCTTTGCCTGTTCTTGGCGCTCCAGGTCCCGGTTCGCCTCTGCGCCCCGGGCTTTGACGGCGAGGCAGGGTCCCAAACCTGAGTCTGGAGAGGAGCAGGGGTATCAGTGGCAGCTTGAGTTGCCCCTTCAAGACCAGGGCTGTAGCTCTGACGTGTAGCCAGCTGTGCCGGGTGCAACAGTCCTGGTCCCCGGTTCTTCCCAGTGTATGTGTGTTTTGTGGTGGGAGAGGAAGAAGGTAACCCAAGGAAAATGAGAGGCCTGAGACTGAGGGCTGTCGGCTTGGGGAGGGGGAGGAAATGTCTGTTTACTTATCGTGTGGGGACAATTTAGCAGGAGAAAGGAACTTGGAGAGATGTGTGGGAGATCTAGAGGGAGTGTATGTGTTGTTAGACCCCGAAAAATCCACTCTGCCGGTGATCATGGGGGTGGGGCGCGTCAAGTACCAGACCCAGGTAAGTAATGGGGAGATTAACCTGGAGTTAACCTCGTCAAATACTAGACAGTAGCTTTTGCAATTTGATACACAGCAGTGTTTTTTTTTCCTGGGGTGGGGGTTGCACCTCTGGAGTAACCGTGCGAGGTGTGTTTGGGTTTGGGCGTATGAGTGTACGCGTTTGTCTACTGGGTGTTAATGGGTGTTAGGGGAAGCCTGCGTATCCTGAAGCAGGCAGCCTCGCGCAGGGAAGGTGAGCGTGGGGACCTGCGGGTTTAAAGGTGTGAAAGCTTGGCTTGAAATTAACAGACGCGTGCAGTCCTCGCGAGCGCGCACACACCCGCCCCGCCGTGCCCAGGGCCAAGTGACAGCGAGTGGGTTGAGGAGGGGGACGCGAGGTTTCTCTGCGCTGTGGGTTTTCCCTGTAGCGGAGTCGGTCTTTTTGAGGGTGTTCATCTAGTGAGGTGGGGTTCACTTCAACCAGTTGGGCTATCCCTCAGAAAGATATCCTCCGGAAGCTCTCTTTGACACAAAGGGTTAATTTAGGTGATGGTCTAGGTTTTTGATCGTGATCTTAGAAAATAAAATAACTCACATAGTCAAGGGCTTCCACCTTGATAGAGCTTATCTGTAGAATTCACCCGTGGTCTGTTACCCTGCCCCCCCCCATCCCGTTTCCTGACCTTTCTTTGCCCCCCCCCCCCCATGTCCTTATGACCCCTCACAATGGCCTCTAGGGGTCTACATGCAGGCTGCACAGAAGCTGGGGAGAGCACCGAATCTCTCCACCCTTGCACCCTAGATCTTGCGGGGATGGGGGTGCATTTGGGGGTTGCGTGTAGAGGGTGCTGAAAGAGTTAATGGGAACCCTCTGAATCCCAGCGTTATTTTTTTCGGAGTCATTTATCAGATTTTACGGGGGACCTCCAAGGGCTCTCCGTTTCCATCGAGCGCCATCTAAACAGAGCCGAGGGCTAAAAATACAACATTTTTGTATAAATTGGACTCGCGGCCCGAGCGGCCGCCCCTATGAAAGTCTTCTTTGTGAAGACCGTGGAAACGGCGGACAAATAACTCTTTATTAATGCCACAAAAAACGCACTTTAATTATAGTTAGGTAGATCAGAGGCGGGGGTTGGGGGCGAGACGGCGGCAACCTCGGAAAATTCACAACCTAACTTTTGTGTCTAAAGAAAAGAAAAACAGAGGAAAAGAAGGAGAGGAGAGACGAGAGAGTCAGACGGAGCTCAGGACACCTTTTAGCAGACTGGGAAGGAAGCCGCTCCTCACCCCCCTCTGTCGCACCCCACCTCCGACGGGGTTTTTCTTAAAGGGGTAGACACCGTCTGCAGCGGCGTCGCTGCGGAGGGAGCTTTCCCGACGCTCCAGCCTGGAAGTGGGCTGCCTTCCCCGCACCCCCCCGCCCCAGGCTCCGGAGCTCCCGGCTCGTTCCCTGTCGCGCGCCGGGGCCGGAGGCTCATGTGGAAAAGTGATTAGGAATCCGGGTTCTGCAGAGTCACTTTTCGCCGGGCTGGGGTGTGTGCACATCTAGATGGAGAACAGTTTTCCGTGGAAGAAAGGAAAATGAGGAGGGGGCCAGACCCAGGAAAAGGGGAGCCGCGTTGTCCCCCTGTGGGCTGCATGACCTAGCGGGTGTTTCTGAGGTCCACTCGTCCATCTGTCTCCTGGCGGTCAACAGGGGAGGCGGACAGGTGGCGCCCTGCCTTTCTCACCTGCAGAAGGGTTAACTTGGGCTGGGGTGGCGAGTGCCGACGTCAAAGGTGAGCCAGACGTCCCCGCTGCCACCCCTCCGAGGTGCGCTCCGCCAGCTCCTCCGAGCTGCAGTCCCAGGCGGGGCCCCGCGATCCTGGGCGCGAGCCGCCGCCGCCGCCGCCGCCGCCGCCGCCGGGGATCCGGTTACCTGCGCGGGTTGCCCCGCCCGGTCCCGCCCCGCCCGGCAGGAAGCGCCTTCCGCCGCCTTGCTCGGGTTCCAAACTCCAGGGCGGCGACGAAAGTCCGTCTCAGTTATTTCCAGGGCAAAAAGTTTTAGGAAAATCTCAGTTCTCGGCCCCTGACCCCACCCTGCAGAGCCCTCCGAGCGCCGCCAGGTCTCCGCGCGGGCCACACGGGAGACGGAGGAAACTCCAACCCCCAATTCTAGTGACTGCCTCCGGGCACAGACCGCGCACCGCTATAAATAATCTTTGGCCTGCGGCCACCCCGCGGGGTCTCGCCAGCCCGTGGCCAGGAGCCTGGAAATATTTATTCCGAAAGACTCCGGAGTGCGCGCGGTGGGGGTGGGAGGCTGGGAGGGGCGGAGGCCTCCACTTCAGATCCCGCGGTCCAGGGTACCTTTCCCTCCCGCAAGTCATTACTAAAAAGTCTCCCGGGAGTGCCCCCGGCCTCCAGCCTCCTCGCACATTTATTATCCTCCAGGCCCTGCTTCTCAGTCTCGTGCACACTATGAAAAATAAAACCTGCACGTGTGTCTGTGCAGGGCGGGCGGTGGGGGTGGGGACGTGGGTGCCGGGTGGGGCGGCCGCTCCCGCCTGGCGGACCCCCCCTCCAGGAGCCCTGAGAGAGGTCTCCCGTGTGGCCCCCGCAGGGTTCCGGCTTCCAGTCCTCCAGGAGGGAGAAGTATGGCAACGTATTCAAGACACACTTGCTCGGGCGGCCGCTGATCCGGGTGACCGGCGCGGAGAATGTGCGCAAGATTCTCATGGGCGAACACCACCTCGTGAGCACCGAGTGGCCGCGCAGCACTCGCATGCTGCTGGGTCCCAACACGGTGGCCAACTCCATTGGCGACATCCACCGCAACAAGCGCAAGGTAAGAGCGCTGACCTTTCCTTCTGCACCCCTCTCAAGGTCAAGATCCGCAAGGATCCCTGTTTCTTTGCTTAGACCGCTGCCAGTCCGGATCCAAGGCCGCCCCAGGCGCCTTCTCTTCCCCTTTTGCTGGCCATCTGTGCAGTAGCGCTCCCAGGCCCGATGGGACCTGTTTGGGAGTGGTTTGGGCAAAGCTTGACAGTATGAGGGCTGGGGTGTCCGATTCTGATCCTCCCAGCGCTCCACAGAACTGGAAGAGAAGAGCTGGGGCGGGACAGTTGGCCCAGGCTCCCCCCTTTGCCACATTTCTCTGGGGGAATGCCGTGGACTAATCATTCTAGAAGCTAAGTTGGCCTTTCGGCCACAGGTTGCTTTGAGGGCAATGCAGGCACGTGCCGGGGAAGTTGGGGGCACCGTGCGGCCAGGGTTGGCTGCCTTGCCTTGGAGAGGGACGCGCACGCACCAAGTGGACAGTGGGGCAAAGACGAGGAGCGGGAGAGCAGCCTGGCGCGGGCGGAGGATCAAAATGCAGTTCGCCCCTTGAAGAGGAAGAGAAAGTGGGTGTTTATCCTGTGGATTTCCCGAGCGACTGGAAGAGGCGCGGAGGAGGCGAGCCGGCGAGCGCAGCAGGCTTCCCCGCCCCCTCCCGGCGTGAGGCGGCCGCGGCGGAGCGCAGGCGGCACGTGCTGTTTGAACTGCAGTAACCCGAAAGCTGAGCCTGCTGGTGGGCGGGGTGCCGACCTGCGGGCTTCGAGCCGCAGAAGGGAGGCTGCGCGGCTTCCCCACTCCGTTTTTCCATTGGCTCAGAGGACTCACCCAGGTTGGAACCTATAGGAAAGGAAGCAGCGGCCTCTGGGCACCCGGAGGGCGGTGCAGCGCGGGGGAGGGGAGGGGCCGGAGCAGCCTCTGCTTCGGAAGTCTGCGCGAGGTGCTGTTGGTGAACTAGGGAACTGTGCTGTACTCGGCCAGCATCTCATAGTAGGTGATGCCTATGAAGGGTAATTTCAGGTAGCAGACAAAAGAAGAAATCAAAGGAAGCGTCTGGTGTGCGCGTCCCCCATAGAGCCAGTGCGTGTTTCAGGAGCTGGGAAGGGGCTCCCGAAGGCCTCTCTCCCATGGCCTTGCTCGGAGCTGGAAAAAAGGTGTTCTGGGGAGTGGCTAGGAGGACCTGTAAGTTCAGTAATAAGATATTTTCATAGATGGATGGTGATTCTCTAGCTAGTCTCTACTAGTCTCTGGGACCCCACCAAAGATCCATTCAAAAGAGTGAAGAAAGAACTGGGAAGCAGGAACTTAGTGCCAAATGCCAAATGATATGACTGTTTCCTCATTTCCTTCTTACAGAGGCTTTAGCGCAAAAGGGGAAACTGAGACTTAGCCTGAGTAAGACTTGGACCAAGCTAAGAGGTAAAGGCTGGCCAGCAGAAGTAGAGTCGCACACCATCCTGTGCACTTGGGTGCTGGGAAGAAGGCAGCTTGGAGCGTGAGGCCCTGGGGCTGCAGCAGGTTTTAGGGTGAGAGACTATTGCCTAACTATCCTGCCCTCTGCCTCCATTGGCCTCAGGCGGTCAGGTGCCAGGTGGAGAGGACCTGTCTGGAAAGGCCTGGGTTTTTACCTGCATTGTGCACTTGGAGGTGAGAGGTCAGGGAAGCGCGGTACTCCAGATGAACAATGCCAGAGGAATACATAGAGCAGGGAGAGAGAAGGGTGGGGAGGAGGGTGAGGCCAGAGTCTAGGACCGTGGTGAGGGATCCCAGGAAGGTCTGAGTTCCTGGTGCTCTGGCTCCTTGGGATGGAGAATCTCCAGAAGCCAGTTCACCTTGACAGAGGCTTGCAAACCCCACGTGTGGGCCCACTTTGTGTGTGCTAGTTTTATGTTTGCTGCATGGGATGGGTATGAGCCATATGTATAGTTGTCAAACAAAAGACTCTTTTCCCTCAAGTCTCCCTGATTGATAAAATCCATGATCCTGTTTGCTGAACTGTAGAAAATCTTGGTTGAAATTCAGAGAAGCAGAAAACCCCATTTTGCCCTCAAGAAGTAGAGCTTGTGGGGGGGGAATATGAAGAGAATATTTAAGGATCTTGTTCTGAGTATCTCTGTTGTCTTGGAGAAATTGGCGAGTCTTCTGGACCCACAGCCTGTAGGACTCCCTGTGGCCAGGGTAGTGGCTGCTGGGTACCATTCATACTGCCTTAACCAGTCCAGGCTGCAACCAGGTTCGTGCCTGGAGAGGGGGCTGCTGAGCTAGGGCCTGGCCAAGCTAGGATGTGCATATGAGGAAGCGGGGCCCAGGTGTGCGGGGGCCCAGGCTGGCAGGGAGCTAGAAGAGTCACTGTTTCCATTGGGGCTGATGGCCCACCCCTTCTCTGGGAGGTCTGACCAGATGTGTGTGGAGGGAGCCCCTCACTGCCATCCCTGCACCTCCAGGTGTTAGCCCCAGCTACCCTGGTGGTCCAGGGCCAGCAGGAGTGAGGCTGCCAGGGAAAAGGTCCAGAAAGTCTCACCCAGTGTAACAGCATCACCTATGGAAGCCAGGGCCTCAGAGTCCCTCCCACCTGGGCTGGGAAGCAGGCCATGGTGCCTCTCTGATGAATGCGTGGAGAGGCTGGGGTATTGCACTAGAAAGGCCCATGGAGTCTGGCTGGGCATGTGGGAGAAGGGGTTGTCAGAGAAATGGAGAAGGAGTTGGGGGTAGTTCTGGAAGCCTCTGATGCCCAGTCCCACAAAGCAGGATTAGGCGTTTTCTCATTTTCTTTGCAGATAGGGCTGAACCTGGGCACCAGGAGACTAGCAGTTTCGGTACAGCCCCACAGGGGCCCTGAGATATCCTCTTGGAACCTGGGAACACCTCAGGAACACATTCAGCCTTGGAGTCCCTGAAATGGGGAGATATAATAGTGTTCTTGTCCTTTCTATGTATGCCCCTGCTTACAAGGCCCTCTGTCTCTGAAGCTGAAGTGGGGGACCAGGTTTTGGAGGCACAGGAATTAAGAAGCCACTACCCCAGTCTCTCTGACCTGGCCTTTGGGCCCAGCACCTGGCGTAGAGGGGAGGTCAGGCTCAGGGTTGGTGTACTCACTTTAGAAACCCAGTGAAATCTGAGATTTATGTTGGGTTGGAAAGGCCAGGAGGTGGCTCTGACAGATCCTGGGGGAGGCCAGCCCACATCCCCCCATCCAGCTCTGGGCACCAAGGCACAGTCTCTGGCCCCATAACCATGTCCAGGCTCAGCATAGGGCAGAAACTTCAGCCTGATTTAGAGAGGACGGTGGTACACAGCCAAGCAGTCCAGCTACGGAGAGCTCTGTGCTGCAGATCCTGGCACAGGCACAGAGCCTTTGTTCCGCAAGCTGAAATCCTTCACCCAAAAGTTACTGTAGCATTAGCACCGGCTGCAGAGAGGATGAGAGGATGAGAAGCAGGAGCGGATCTCTCTGAAGGTCAGTGGGGGAGGAAGCTCAGTCAGCCGCCAGCGTGTCTGGGAGTGGGCACATCCCTCTTCATGCCCTTGTGCCAGGTAGTGGGAGGGTGGGCAGACTGGGTATGGGGGCCACCTTCTTCCTCTTTGTGTCTTTCTTCCTGGTAGGGAGGGATACAACGTGGTGCTAACTGATGTGTTGTTTACGTTCCCAACCTTGGAAGACACATGTGGCCTTGGTACGGAGTAGGGAGATTTGGCTGGGGTCTGCACTGGCCCTGAGCACCCTGTGCCAGCTGCTGTGTCCATTCTGGGTTTCCCAAGCTTGAAGGAAGAGGCTCTAGGGGTCTGAGAAATGCTGAGAACAATCCAAATCAGCCAGAAGGGCTGGCCTCACCCTTAGAATCAATTGGGCCATGGAAGAGGATCCCTTTGAGGACTTAGATAACTTCAGAGCCCACCAGGGCTGGTAGAGGGCAGCTCCTTGGGGTTTAGAGTGGTGAGAGGCAGGGGCTTCAGGGGTACTGCTGGGTGTGGCCAGCTGTGCCTGCCCAGTGGCTTTGGAAAGGCCCTTTCTCTTTGGGGAAGGGGGCACTTCCTTGTGGCTGGAAGAGGGTAAAAGCAACCAGGCAAATCTTTTCCAGTTAGGAGCTCAGGTATTTGCAAGTGCTGTGTGTGTGTGTGTGTGTGTGTGTGTGTGTGTGTGTGTGTGTGTGTGATCTGAGCTGGAATCAACTGTGGGACAGGCACCATGTTCCCCTAAGCGCAGGGAAGGGGTCTGCAGGTTGGGCAGGGGGCTGTCTGGTCTGGCCTTTCCCTACCTGAGGCTCTCGGAGATTGGCTCAGAGTGAAGCTGAGTCCCAGTGGATGCAGCTATCCTGGAAGATGACGTCCTTTTGTCCCCCTCCTTACTTAGTTTAAAGTACATACCTTGGCGTCACCCTGTGCGGACGGCTGCCCCAGCGGCTGCCTGCCCCTGTTATTCTTTCCACTCTGAAGCCTGAGGCCCGGTGGCTTGGCTGGGTGACCTGCTCAGGTCCCCACCCCTCCTGGGCAGCCACTTCCATTCCTCCCAGTCTGAGTCACTGGCCAGCTGGGCAGTGGGCTCTCTCTCTGGCTCTGCCCACTCCAGCGGCCACCCATCCAGAGCTGACGGTAGGTGGGGAAGGGGTGATCTGATCACATGGGTTGACAGAGCAGTCAGCCTCCCAGGGGCACTGGCACTGAAGTGGGGGGTGGGTGAGGGGGCCTGGCTGAGACAGTCATCGGGAATTTGGGCTTTGGCAGCCATGGGTGGTACCTGAGACCCTCGTGGTAGAATCAGCTTCTGTTAGGGAGAGAGAGAGAAGGAACCAGGGACATGCACTCTTGAACTTGCTCTGCAGTTGGGGAATCAGGTGGGACGGAGGGGTTATCCTCCCTCTCCCTCTCCTCCCTCAGCTCTTGTCCTCCCCTGCAGCTCCTGCAGGTCCCTGGCATGGTAATTCACAGTCCGAAGACCCTCTCCGCCCCCAACTCCCCAGCGACTGTGGTGAGAAGTCCATACCTGTGGCTCCTTCTGAAGGTCTTTGCCTGGCCCTGGGCTGGTTCCCATTGACCTTTGTCTGGCATTCTTGGCTCACTTTTGGGAATTCCCAGGGAAGCCCCAGAGGGCAATCAAGCAGCCCTGGCTCCTGTGAAGACTGCGGTTAGGCCGTCAGCTCTGGGGGCCGGAACCCTTCCTCTCCTCACACTGAGCTGCTCCCGTGTCTTCTCAGTGTGCCCGAGTCTTGACCTTTGCAGGCTGTGGCCTCAGACCCAGCCCTCCCTGACACAGCCCAGGCCTCCCTCTGCCCTGGCCAGCATCTCCGCCTCCGCCTGTCCTTTGTGGTGGGCGGTGGTTTCTGGGCTGCCCCGGTTTGGGAAGTGCCCATATTGTTGGGCACAGACCCAGGGATGAAGCCTTGGAGTCTTCCCAGTGCCTGGGAGGCCTGCATGCTTGTGAAACAGCTGGACCAGAGGCAGGGGCATGGACTTGGTGACCTTTGGGCAAAGTCTGCCCAGGGCTGGACTGTCTGCCCCCTCACCTTCCCTTGGTTTCGCATTTGGGTATTTGCCCTCCTTGAGGGACTTTGAGGAGAATTCGAGGACAGACAGTAGAAAAGGATCTTACAGAGCTCTCCTGAGACTGGTGGAGAAATTGAGCCAGGGATAGCCAGCTGCTGTCACTTGGCAAGCCAGAGCTGGGTTCAGAAGAGAGCCCTGATCCTGGCTTTCTCTTTTCAGTCCTTGTTGGCATAGGGTGGCAGCAGACTCCTGGTATAGCTCAAGACCCCTTCTCCTCGATGGCCAGCTGTGGATCCCTGACTCGAAGTCCTTTGCACAGTCCCAGGTCCCCTGGGATCTTCTCTCTTCCAGGGTTGTCCCAGCCCTCTTGGGAGTGAGGAGTGATTCGGCCAACTATCGCTAGAGGGCGCAAGGAATATAAGCTAGGGGGCAGGCAGGGCTTGTCAGTGGTCCTGTTTGGCCACTCCTGTGGGTATCCTGGAGGCTCTTGGGGGCCAAGGTGGGGGCTTGAGAGTGGGGCCTTGTGGGTTCTTCTCCAGGTGGCTTGAGTATTGCTGGACTTGTCTGCTCGAAAGGGATTAGCTCCTACCAAGAACAAGGTGGTATAGGGGTTTAAGTGCCCTGTGAGTTGCAGGAGTCTAAGAGGTCCCTTAGCTCAAAAGCACCATTTTACAGATAAGGAAACTGAGTCTCAGGGGTGGTGAGTTGGCCACGGTCATGTAAAATAAGTTTAACCTGGTTAAAATGTAGGTTTATGGGCAAGTAATCTAACTTTCCTCACCCAAGACCCAGCTAGCTTTTACACTGGTTAATCCTAGTATGACATTGTGCTGTCCCCTTCCATACTTCTGGGGCCAGGTCTCACGTGTGCTGGGGACCTGGCTGTCCTCTACCATGAAGGTGCTCCCAGTATATGCTGGGCTGATCAGCTCTGAGCCAGCGTGGCCTCCTGTCCCCCCGACAGCCTCCCTCCAGAGGCCTGGTCACAGCAGAGTCATCCTTCTGCCCCACTGTGTTAGTCACTGAGTGTCTGTCCCACTCCTATGTGCCACTTTCTGTCCATCCTGTGGCCTCTACGCTGTTTTACAAGGGCCTTGCTGCCAATTCTGAGCAATCTGGGCCTGCCTCCACTCCACGAGACCCCTTGACCAAGGGCTAAGTCTGGAATCCTAAGGACGCCAGAGTGAAAAGCTGAGGCGCAGGACTCTGCCTTTACCCCTCACCCCCACCGAAAGTCACTAAAAACCCCTGTTGCTGGGCAAGGTGCGAGTAATCCATCTAGACCTGAGGTGACCTAAGTGACCTCCTATCATCCTCCACCTTTCAGTTGTCCCTTTGTAGCAGGAGTGGCCCTGAACAGTGTGGGTCTCTCTGCTGCTCTCCGGCCCCCTCCCCCTCCCTCTGCCCACCGGGAATTTCGGAATGAAAGTGCTATTGTGCGCACCGGCTGGGCCACTGAAGGGCCAGCACTGTTATTTCTGCAAACCAGCCCTCCCATTAGCCATGCAGGGCCAAGGCCAGGAAAATGTTACCTTTTCCTCCTCAAGCTGACTGCAGGGGAAATTCTCACATTTACAGTTTGTGCAGTGGTTGTGTTTGGGGGGCAGGCGCGTGTGTGTGGTTTGCATGTGGCGGGTGGGGGCTCTTTCCTCTGCATGACCTGCCCCTCGTCACCTTTCCAGATGACCTTTCCCTTGGCCCCAGCTGTGGAGGGCGCTCCCTTCTGCTCTGGACACTGGAGAGATGGAGTTGGTTATAAGGGAGACCCGTAGGCTGTCAGTAAATAAACTAACATCCTCCCTCTCCTGTGCACTGAGGGCAGGGGCAGCGGAGAGGGGCTGCCCAGCCAATCGGGAGGGCACAAGGCAGGGGAGGTGGACACAGGGACTCCTTGGCTACTTGAAATGGTCCTGGAAGATGCAGGGAATTTAAAAGGGCTTCTGTTGGTTTTTGTGATCTTTTAGGGTGGAAAGCTGTTGCCCCCACTCCATGGCCTCCAGACCTGGCCACACCAAAGACAGTTTAAGGGTACAGCTGTTAGGAAATGCAGTATCTATGCCCAATGGTTGTTTCTCAGGGAGTGAGAACAGTTTGGTTCTCGGGACATCCTGCTTGCTTGCCTTTTAGCGTGAGGTTACTTTCACACTCTTACCGTTGGAGAAGGATAGCCCCTCACTGTTTCCCACCCTCCCCTGTGCTAGCATCTACTTGTACCCCACTCCTCCTGCGAACTTCTGGCCCAGGGCCTGGGAGTTGGGTAATGGGCCACTGTAATGGGAAGGGCAGCTTCCATGCTCCTGCCCCATTCAGCTCCTATTGTGCCCTGCCAAGGCTGGGTTCGCCACAGCCTCCCAGACTTGTTGGCAGCTGGACTGTGCAGTCCCCAAGGCTTTGCCATTGTTTGGGGTTATGCACATTTTTCTGGGGTTGGAAAAGTAGATGACAGTTCATGTTACCCATGTTACCCATGAGTTATGTGGAAGGTCTCAGCTTTGAATAAAAATGCTTATGAGCTCTTTTCTATCTAATGTGGGTCTTTCCTGCCTTCCCTCCAGATGCACAGTAGAATGGGGATTCAGAGTAGGGGACTCTAAAAGCGTGCTGTGCCTGGAGGAGCTTGGGAGCTCAGTGGAGGGAGTGAGCATGGGAGTGTCCCCAGGGAGTTGAGGGCTCTGTATCTCACCTGGGCAGAGAGGGGTCTGCATCAGCTTAGGAGCCAAACTCGGCCTGCTCCCCTGCCCTCCAGATCTTCTCGAAGATCTTCAGCCATGAGGCCCTGGAGAGCTACCTGCCCAAGATCCAGCTGGTCATCCAGGACACACTCCGAGCCTGGAGCAGCCAGCCCGAGGCCATCAATGTGTACCAAGAGGCGCAGAAACTCACCTTTCGCATGGCCATCCGGGTGCTGCTGGGCTTCAGTATTCCTGAAGAGGAACTTGGGCACCTCTTTGAGGTCTACCAGCAATTTGTGGACAATGTTTTCTCTCTGCCTGTCGACCTGCCCTTCAGTGGCTACCGGCGGGTGAGCAGTGAGGGCCTGGAAGGGGAGGGAGTGCTGACCACAGGGACCTTGGCACACGGGCACATAGACAGAAGGGAGAGGTATCAGCAGGAAGGTGGGCTGAGCCTTCCCTGGCAGCCATGAGCTCAGACAGGAGCCCTGCCTTTCCTATGGTCACTGATCCCTCTCTCCACAGGGCATTCAGGCTCGGCAGATCCTGCAGAAGGGGCTGGAAAAGGCCATCAGAGAGAAGTTGCAGTGCACACAGGGCAAGGACTACTCAGATGCACTGGACATCCTCATTGAGAGCAGCAAGGAGCATGGGAAGGAGATGACCATGCAGGAGCTAAAGGTGTGGGGCTTCTCCAGCAGCAGCGTGTGCACTGACAGTCTGTCCTCGGGCTTCCCTTGGGTGGGAAAGTGCCTGGCCATTTCCACTCTTCCCCCTCGGGCTCTGCATATGCTGCTGAGTGGTGCTGGCCATTGCTGCACCTGGGCTGGAGGGTGGTGGACACATCAGAGTTGTGTCCTTGCCCCTGCTGAGTGCCCTACTCTACCACACTCATGGGATGAATGGGATAAACGGGTCCTGATAGAGCTGGGCACCGTGCATCTGGTCCTGCTGACACATCTGTCACTTTTGAGAAGACACTAGAAATTGCCTTCACACCTCTGAACAGGCTCAATGTCAAAGGCTTGTTGACTCCTTCCTGCCTTGAACTGTCTACACCCTCCAGATTCACTACCTGGGGAAGTGCAGGCCCAGTGGGGAAGCCACTTGCTAGAGGCCAGACCCCCCCAGGGGACACTGGACCTAACTTGGGCTCCAGCCCCACCCACTGCCGCGAGGTTGCACTTGGAGCTCTCTTATGTCCCCCCTCCTAAGCCTAGCCGGGCTGTGGTCATCTCGGCTGCCCACCTTAGTCCCCAGGCATGGCTTCCCCTGCTCTACCTCGGGGATGCTCCACTTCACTCACTTGCTGGGCACCCACAGACACTGCAGACTCCCCTCCCCATAGTCTCTGGATCTTTCCTTTTCCACTTTCCGAGCTCTAACTTTTCTCCTGGAAAACCAGGAAGAGGTTAGCATCACTTTCTCCTTTCACAAGAGCAAGAGTTTTGATGCCATGGCAAGCAAGGGGCCCTGTCCTCTCCATCCACTTCTGGGCGCAGTGTCCACACCTGTACACTGCAGTGCATGGGCTGCAGTGACTTGCTGGATCCTTTCTGTGGACACCCATGGTCCAGTGTCGTCCCCAAGAACCTCATCGAGGCTCTGGGACCACTTCCCTTCAGCCATCTCACTGCACTCTCCTCCCTTCCCTCATGGCTGTGGCTCCAGGCTGCCTCCAGCCTCTGTCTGTCCCCCTGACCACCTCACAAGCATCCTTCTCTTGGGGGTTGGAAAGCCGGTGGTCATATCCTCTTATCTGCCACACATACACATGCACACGCACACTGCCTGGCTCCTGGGATTGTCCTTTTTCTGACCAGGCCTGCTGCACTGACCAGGCCTGCTGCAGCCGGCCCGCACCTGACAGTGAGTAAGAGGGAGCCCTACACTAGGGAGCCAGCAGGCTCGTACTTCTGCCCCCGCAGTGAGCAAGGGACTAGCTGGGACTAGCAAGGGAAACTGCAGCCCTTCAGGCACAGGGAAGCAGCAGTGGCAGCAAGAAGCAGGCAGGGCTTCGCAGGTGACCTGGGGGACGCTGGCAGAACAGGGCTGACACATTTTACTGGGCCCAGATTGTCAACGGTGCCACCCCTCTCTGTGCTGCTGCAGGATGGGACACTGGAACTGATATTCGCGGCCTATGCCACCACGGCCAGCGCCAGCACCTCACTCATCATGCAGCTGCTGAAGCACCCAGCTGTGCTGGAGAAGCTGCGGGAGGAACTGCGGACCCAGGGCATCCTGCACAGTGGCGGCTGCCCCTGTGAAGGCACCCTGCGCCTGGACACGCTGAGCGGGCTGCGCTACCTGGACTGCGTTATCAAGGAGGTCATGCGCCTTTTCACACCCATTTCTGGCGGCTACCGGACTGTGCTGCAGACCTTCGAGCTGGATGTGAGCCTGGGCCCCAGGGGCATGGAGCTGAGGGGACCCTGGGTGCTGCCTGGGCTTGGGGATGACCTGTGGGAAAGATCCTGTGGGGCACCTCTCACTGGTAGGGAGACGGTGGTTGACTTAAGGGACTTTCAGTCCTCTGGGAGAGGCGCAGTCCAGATGCAGAGTGAGATAAGGCCAGTCTGGGTGGCACATGTGACATGCACCAGTAGGAGCCCCGACTAGCATGATGAGTGGGGAGGTGACTGGGTCTGGGGAACCCCAGGGGCTCTCTGTGGGAGGAGACAAAAAGGTGAGCAGTGCTCATACCACTCTGCTCTCCGGCCCCCATCTTGCTCCAGGGTTTCCAGATTCCCAAAGGCTGGAGTGTCATGTACAGCATCCGGGATACCCATGACACGGCACCTGTGTTCAAAGACGTGAACGTGTTCGACCCTGATCGCTTCAGTCAGGCACGGAGCGAAGACAAGGATGGCCGCTTCCATTACCTCCCATTCGGCGGTGGCGTCCGGACCTGCCTGGGCAAGCACCTGGCCAAGCTCTTCCTGAAAGTGCTGGCGGTGGAGCTGGCCAGCACCAGCCGCTTTGAGCTGGCCACCCGGACCTTCCCCCGCATCACCTTGGTCCCCGTCCTGCACCCCGTGGATGGCCTCAGTGTTAAGTTCTTTGGCTTGGACTCCAACCAGAACAAGATTCTGCCAGAGACCGAGGCCATGCTGAGCGCCACTGTGTAGTAGTGGTTCTCAGGCCCACGGCCAGCCTCAGTCAGCCCACGTGGAGTGGGGGCAGTGGAGGTAGAAACCTGTGTGTGGGAGGGGGTCACCAGGGAGGGCCAGCGGCCCCCATACTCGCCCTGCTCTGGTCCCCTTCTTGGAAAACCCTACTCAACACCAAAAAGGCCCCGTCTTTTCTGGGGATGGGGCTCTCCTGGCCCCTGCTCTCTCCAGTGTCTCCCCGCTTCCCAGCAGCTTAGCTCTTGGGAATGGCCTGGCCAGGCTTTGCATGCCGCTCCAGTGTTACGCGTTAGCGGGCTGTGCCTCAGTGTGTGCTTGCGACCTTCTGACCTGGGCCTTCCCTCCCTTGTCTTCTAGCTGGCAGCCAGGTGGTGGTGCTGGGGCAGCGAGGGAAGAGGCCCCCCAACCTTGGCTCTTTCTTCAGCTCCCCGGCCCCTCCTGCCACTGCTCAGACAGTGCCCCTGGCGCTGTGGCTGCTGAAGAGCAGTGTCCTTAGGTCACCCATCACTAGTCAACCTGGCTGTGCAGGGGGCGCCAGGGCCCGGAGAGCACCCCTGTCCAGCCCTGCCAGTTTGGACATTTGAAATTACCTATTGCTGCTACGTGTACTCTCCTCTGATCTTGGGGCACAGAAGCCTCAGGCCTGTTCCCCAGCATACTCCCTGGTGGCCCTGGGCAGGTGCACTGACATCCCTACCTTTCTCCAAGATGGGAATCCACTGAGCCAGGCCTTTCCCTGCTCTAATTACCCAAGCAAGGCCCTGGGCTCATGGGAACCTGCGCCTCGCTAGTCTCGGCCCTATCGAGGTCTGGAACAAACACCTGCATCCCCTTAGCTTCTGTCTCAGCTGTCCCTCTGCAGGGCATCTGGGAACAAAGAGGAAAGGGTTGCTGGTCAAACCGAGCCCCTTATCTTCTTGGCTGAGGGTTGAACAGCACTCCCCACCCCTGGGGGGCTCCAGACAGGCTATTTGATTTAATCTCAGAGCCTCACTGCGCGACTGCCATCCTGTGTCTGTGCCTGTTTCCCCTGCTGGAGATGGGAAGGTGGCTCATTTTTTCCTCCCTGCCCTATTAAAAGCCCTGAGAGGCTGCCACAATTTCCAGTTTGGCCACTCTTCACCCCAATGCCCCCTGCTCCACTAGTGAGTATGGAGAAGGATACGGGTTCTCTTCTGATGGGCTCCAGAGCCTCTGTCTTCCTTTCCTGACTTTGCTGTTTGCCCTTAGCCCTTGGCAAGGTGTCCTTGCCGTCCCTTCCACCTCTGTGCCACTGTCTGCTTGAGCCCAGCTCTGGGTGTGGGGAGGAGGCGAAAGCAAAGCCCAGGCGAGGTAGGGGTGGCCCTTCCTCAGCACTGACTCGGGCCTGTGTGGTCTGGAGGCTGCGGGGAGGCTGCCCTGAGCTGAGGAGGAGGAGGGTACGTGAGGTGAGGTGTGTCAGGAGTGATTTGGTGGCGGACATGACTGTTCAAAGCAAAATAGCTCCCGCCCCTGACATTTTGAGAGTTGGCAGTTTGGGACACGTCCTGGCAATGGTTTGGGGCCTTTGGTGAGTCTCTAAGCAATTTTGTCTGTTTTCAGATTTTTCTTTGCTTTTTGTGTTTCTCTGTTGTTTTTTGACATTGTAATAGCAATGAATCCTGTTTTCAAGAAAACCCAGAACAGGAGACCACAGCAAATGCCTGTCCCCAGCTCAGTTCCTCCACCGTGGTGTCCAGGGGTGAACCCCCAACAGACCCGCTTGCAACTCTCTGCAGGGCGACTTTCAGGCTTTACAGACAGCCCCGAGTGTCCTGTAATCCCCCACTCCCACATACATTTGTTCTCTACTTTTCACTACTAAAACAGCGAGTGTGGAACAGGTATTATTGGCAAAAGCATTTAATTTTTTTTAAGCTGCAAAAATCTCCTAATTCCCCCTCCCAGTTCTGAAAGACAAAATACGTAAAGGCCAAAATGTGTAAAGACTCATCAAAGCATGCGAAGTAGCTCTGGAGTCCAGCAGGATCTGTTACTCTTACAAAGAGCTGAGGGTCCGGGAGGTTCAGGTCTCTAAGCTGCTCCCGTTTACCCTGAACCATCGATGCTGACTGAGTAGCTGGGAGCACGGCAAGGGTGGCCGTGGTGAGGGGAGGGGCTGGAAGGTTCTGGAACCCTTCAGTGGTCTTCTGCGGAGTGGCCTGGGGAAGGGAATGGAGAAGGAAAAGTGGAAGGGATCCCTGTGAAGGAGGAAGGAAGGGTCATTTGCCCCACGGGGTCTAAAGGCAACATGGAGAGCAGTGAGGAAAGCTCTTGACCGGCCTGCAGGACCCCGCTGGGGCCACGCCTCCGTCCCCTCTGTAGATCTGTGTTGAGGTCTCTGTGTCCCTGTGTTGTGTGTGTGTGTGTGTTCCACAGCAGTGGCAGTAGATGAGTGACCCTTTCTCACTTACCATTCCTAACTATCGTAACTTGATATTAAAAAAAGACAAAACCCCACAAAATTCCTGCCATGGGCTTGCAGAATGAAGCACTTTCGATGTTGGGCGCTGATGTTTATGTTCTGGGCACCAACCTGACCCTGCCCGGAACACTATAATATTATTTTATACACAAAACTTTTTTTTTCATAAATGTTATAATTTTGTGTCTGTCTTTATAAACTATTATAAGTACTATTTTTGTTATAATTCAAAATAGATATTTAGTATAAAGTTTTTGCTGTTAAATATTTGTTATTTAGTAAAATATGAATTTTTCTCTATTGTAAACATGGTCAAAATATTAATATGTTTTTATCACAGTTGTTTTAATATTGAAAAAGCACTCGTGTGTTTTGTTTTGATATGAAACTGGTGCCGTGTGTTTTGCTGTCATGTGGTTTTAGTCTGTATATAATATTCCACGTTACATATTAAAAATGAATGTTGTGCATTTTGTGATTTTGGAAATACTCAAAGTGGCTCTTTTATAGGCTTCCATAATAAACCGTGGGGACTCACCTTGGTCTCTTTTGCCTGTCTGTCTCTATCTCCCTGCCTCTCTGGAAAGAGCCTCCGTGGCCACTCATGTTCAGATCAGCAGCACCCAGGAAGTCCTTGCCTAGGCCATGTGTCCTAAGGGGCAGCTGCCCATTCTTTGAGTGGAGCATGAAGTCTGTGGCAGGGTCCTGGGAGGAGTCGGCCTCCCTGGGGAGGAAACAGTGTCCTGGGTAGACTCCCTGCGGTGGGAAGGTTGACTGTTTATGACTGACTGTGCCGGATGTCTCTGGGCTGGACACAAAGACCCAAAGCTTTGAGATCCTGTCCGGGGAGCTCATCTTGGTGAAGCAAACAAGATCCAGGATCCCCCAGTCTTTCAGTCTGGTACCCCATTCTGGTGTTTCTCAGGGGTACTGCAAGAGATCCCATGATCAAGTATGTCTGGGAAACAGGCAAAATCACGCTAGGCAGGTGCTTGTATTGCAGGAATTCTCAGAGCCTTGAGCCCCCGGATGTGTGATTTAAATGGCAGTGTGCTCTCAGGGGACAGAGGTGATGACATTGCTCAAGTCTGTCTGATGACTGAGCCCTCGAGATCTTGGGCCAGCAGTTACACTTTTTCACAGTGTAGGGACCAGTGAAGGGTGCCGTCTCTGGTACAGAAGCACCAGTGCTCACCACAGTTCCAAAGACCCAGGATTTTGGATGAGGGGGTGGTCAATGAGAGAGCCTTTCCCCTACCCTCTCCCCACCCCCAGCAAGCTGCATGCTAGGGACAGAAAGACTGCCCATGTCCTAGCCTCTGCCATGCCCTGGTCATGACCTTGAGAGGAAAGGCCCACCCCTGAGCTAGCCTGAGAGAAGGCATTTTGTGGCTGCAAAATTTCAATATAGTCAGTTGGTCAAACCCAAACTCGTCTCAGAGCACCTTGGCCCAGGCACCAAGATCTCACCTCACCCAGGTCACAGAGCCCAGCCACCTTGACACCTGACAATGCCACGGGGTGAGCAGCAGGCCCCAACTGCCTGTCTCTGCCTTGTGCTGTCTTTCTGTCCATCCTTCCCTGGCCCCACTAAACTCTAACCCTCACACTCTACTATCCCCGGGATAGGTGGGTAGAGAACTGGAGGTTTCCCCTATTTTCCATAAAAGCAGAATTACAGAATAGCAGCGACATTCCTAAGGCCTGACAGAAGTGGAGGGAGGGCAGGACCTCTCAGGGGCCCACGCTGGGCATGCCCAGGCTCAGTGCTCTCTTGGGCATCAGCGTCAGTGAGGAGCAGAAGCTCTGGGAACCTTTCAGGGAAAGGCAGCAGCTCCTTAGCGTGTAAATTCCAGCTCCCCTGGTGGAATGGCCTGTGTGGCCAGCAGAAGTGAAAGAAGCGTGGTCCCTGGGACACCCTTGACCTGACCACCCTGTGGAGGGTGGCAGGGTGCTGCTGACCCTGTCGTCGCCCATCTGTTCCTGCCTCTCCCCGGTGGGTTCAGCCAGCCAGTGATGCCTTCCTGCCTGCCCACCCACCTCCAGCCAGACTTCTGCCCTTGGGATCTGCTAGCCTGGAAGGAGAACACAAGCCACTGTGGACAAGCAAACACGGACACTGTTTGTTCAGAGACTGGGGCGCCAGTTTGGAGGGAACTCGGAGACCGCACATTCTATCACCTCGCAGCACTTTTCCAAAACAGCCTGGCCTTGGCTGGGCTGGCGGGGCGCTGCGAGCCAGGGACAGGCAGGGAGAAGCGGGGCCTCGAGGCCAGCAGGGTGAGGTGACCAGGGAAGAGCAGAGGCAGTGCTCGGCCAGCTCTGCTCGGCTTGAGGTGCTTTGGGGAAGAGAAGGAGACAGAGACAGACACACAGAGAGAGACAGAGAGAGACTAAGAGAAAGAAACGAGAGATACAGACAGACACAGAGAGACAGAGACACAGAGAGACAGAAAGTGAGAGACTAAGAGACAGCAATGAGAGAGAGAGATCTGAAAGAGCAGGAGAGAGGGACAAAGGGTGGAACAGACACTGCGTGCACCTGTGTTGGGAGCAAAAGGAACAGACCATTCTCCTCGGAGTGCAGAGGCTCTGCTCCTGGTAGGGGTTCTGGGCGCTGAGCGTGGCTTAGCAACCTGATGCAGACAGCAGGTCAGGGCTTTGGTTCAGCTCCTCCTCTTCCTTGCCAGCTTCTCTTTCCCCACCCCTGGCTATCCTGACTCTCTGATTTAGCCTCCTCCATGATAATTTTTCCAGTCTCTCCATCCTTGACCTGTCTCTGCAAAGAGGACCCCAAGCCTTTGTATTCCAGAACTCTGGTCCTCTTCCTTGATCCCCTATGCTGTACAGCAAGTGAGTGACAGGGCAGCCCAGAAAGGCCGCCATGGAGTGTGGTTCTGTGACCATCCTCTGCAGAGACGTGGCAGACCCTTCTGCTGTGGATGACGGTCGAGGCATGCGGGGCTTCCTTGACTGGTAGAAATCATGTGGCCAGGGTGCTGGTCCACCCGAAGGTGCAAGAGACATGGGCTGTCTGGAAGGCTAACTAGAAGCCTTTCTTGCTTTGCCTGGCATATACTTGGCATGTCATAAACCCTTCCTTTTCACAGCTTCTTCTAGGTCTTGGGCTAGAGTCCCTGTAGTTCAAATATTGTGTAGAACACAGCACATAGGCTGTTCCCCAAGGGCTCACCCTGAGACCCTAGAGCTAGCTCCGGAAAAGACTTTTTTAGCTCAATTGGAGACACATGCCCACGTCTGATTGGTCACTTTGTTGGGGGCAGGGAGGTGGTGTATAATCCACAACCTAAGGTAGAGATGAGTAGGCAGCGTGGAAATGTGAATTACCCCAGAGCCCAGCTAAGCAGCTAGCAACGCAAGAGCAGACCAGGGTTATTGAAATTGTGTGTGGGGAGTCCAGGAGGAGCGTGTACACCAAGTGACATGTTAAGACGGAGAAGCTCTAAATAAAACTTGCTGCTTCTTCATGTGACATTATTTCGACTACTAAGATGAAAACCTTCTCCAGTGAAACAAATCTAATACTGTGTCTCCCAAGAGCTCCCCCTTTCCTCCTGTCCTCTCTCTCCCCTCACGCTCATTCAAATAATTATAGATTCACAAGTTTAAAAAGTGTAAGACAGAGCCTATGTACTCTTCACCAAGTTTCTCCCGAAGACTTCTTACACCATTGTAGTTCAATAGTAAATCTAGGAAATTGATGCCGATACAATGTATATGTATAATTTGATACCATTTAGCACGTTTGTGCATCCTCGAGCCCTCCAGATTAAGAGGGGGAGTGATCCAGTGTATAACGCTTTGAAATTGGTTTCACTCACACAGGATAATGGAGTGTTTTAAAGAGCCATCCAAGTTGTCACGTGCATCAATATTTCCTTTCTTCTTTTTAAATTCATTTTGTTAGTACATTTTTAGACATACACGATGCTAACATTCACCATATGGAGTGTGTACCTGCGCATGATGCATCTCGATTCTTCTTTTTCCCCATTCTCCTCCCTTCCTTCCAGCCCTCATCTCCTCCTTATTTACAAAATATTTGTTCCCATTTTTCCTTCTATCACTTTTCCTTTCTTCTTTTCCCTTTTCTTTCTCTTGTTAAATAGTATTATTCTACCAAACAGATATACCAGTTTGTTTACCATTCATTAATTGGAGGACATTTTAATTGTTTACAGTCTTTGTTATTGTAAGTAAAACTGTTATGGAATTTGCAAATAGGCTTTTGGGTGGGGATTATTTTATTTCTCTGGGATCAATGCTGAAGAGTGTAATTATTGCATCATGCGGCATATTGCGAGTTCCACTGTGTATGAAATGACCCAAGCATTTTCCAGAGTGGCCGTGCCTTTGTCCCTTCCCAGCAACCGTGTGTGAGAAATCTTATTGCTTTACATATTTGCCAGCACTTGCTGTTGTCAGTGTTTTTAGTTTTAGCTCTGCTTATAGTTCCATAGTGGTGTCTCATTATAATTTTAAGTTGCTTTTCCCAAATAGCTAACGATGTAGAACATCATATATTGTGTGATGTCTGTAAAACGTCTTGGATGCTGTGTGTTCTATAGCTTTCTTACTGTGACAAAAATGCTTGATAAAATCAACTACAACGTGGAAAGCTTTACTCTGGCTCACTGTTTCAGAGGTCTCAGCTCAGGCTGACATGGTCCTGTTGCTCGGCTCTGAGTTGCCTGGGTCTGAGGTGCAGGCGATCTTGGCAGGAATGTGTGGAGCAGGAGGGTAGGGAGGAAAGAGAGAGAAGAGCTGGGGTCCCCGTGCCTTGGGGTCACAGTGTCTTCTTTTTTTTATTTAAAGGAAAAACAAAACAGTATAAGGGTACAAGTAATACAGAATTAAAAAAAAAAACGGCAAGAAATCACCAGCTAATAGATTACATACTGTCATCTTAGAAATAGTTGTTCAGGTTACAGGATTAAAGCACACAAAGTGGACATTCAAACAGTGAGACAGCAAACAGTTGTGTTCAATGATCCAACAAAAACTTAGAAATATGGTCATCTAGCTTAACACACCTAAACACACTTGCAGTTGTATCCTCTAGAGCACTTTTTTCCCTTTCTTTTTTACAACCAAATTTACACATTTTAGGTTTTATTGCTCCCATAGTTCTTATTACTTTTTTTTGGAAGAGAATAAAACCAAATATGACAAAACAAAGCAGTCAGTCAAAACAAAGGATGGACATAGCACATGATGTAAAAACAGAATAAAGGTAATCAACAATGGTTATCATAATGCCTCTTGCTTCTTTAAAAAGAATTGCCTATATCATTAGGTATAATAAAATTGAACAAAACAGTACAGAACAAAACGAATAAAACCTAAACATTGGAAACCTTACAGGACTTCAAAAGAATATAATAGTCAAACCAGAATGGGCATCATAGTGAATCTTATTGCCTTCAAAGTAGTTGCCTATACCCTCAAACTTGATACTATCAAACAGAATGGAACAGAGTAAAATCAGTCAAAACAAGATAGTGGGAGTAATATAGG